GTTTATATTATCAATTGAATAGAAATTTTTTATGAGATTTTCTCTTTACACCTAGTACTTTTCTTCCACACATCGGGAAAAAACCCAAAATATCTTCGGAATTCGGAAATGCATATTTGAACGCAGCTATTTCACAAAAGTTTATGAAAAGTATATTTTCAGATATGCATCTCCGAATACACTTCATTTTTTTACGAAAAAGTAGTTTCAGATATGTATATCCGAATTTTACTCTGTTATAAAAATTTAAAAATACAACTAAAAATCAAATAAAATAAAATTAAGTATCTATAAATTTTTTCGAAAATATGAAAACGGAAAATAAATCAAATAAAATAGAAAAACAAGAAATTTAGGATTTTTAGAGTGGGGTCAAAATAGGGGATTTTGATCCTTGATTTTTTTCGGATGAATTGACATGGTAAAATTTTAGTTCAGAATCGATTTTTCAGAAAACTAAGTTTTTTTACGTTAGGTCGCGTAAAGGCCAGAGAGCATGAACTAAACACTACTAGGTGTATAAAGAAATTCTCAACACTACTAGGCCTAATGAGTTCCTGCGTCTTTGACATTTATGCGACCTAACATAAAAAACTCAGTTATCTGAAAAATCGATTCAGAATTAAAATTTTACCATATCAATTCATGCAAAAAAAATCAAGGATAAAAAATTCTAAATTCCTTGTTTTCTATTTTATTTGATTTATTTTCTGTTTTCATATTTTTAAAAAAAATTTGAATAAATTTGTAGACACTTAATTTAATTTTATTTAATTTTTAATTATATTTTTAAATTTTTATAACTGTATAAAATTCATATATACATATCTGAAATCACTTTTTTCCAAAAAAATTAGATATATTCTGAAATCTATATCTAAAAATATATTTTTCATAAATTTTTATGAAATATAAGCGTTTGAATATGCATTTTTGAATTTTAAGAATATTTTAAGTTTTTTTTTTGTAAGGTGTGGACGAAGGATACTAGGGAGAGAAAGAATTTCTCAACCTTCCATTGACGTTATCCACTCCCCCAACCGAACCCTCCGCAACTCCATTTCTTCAAACCCTAACCATAATGGCATCCATATCCGTTCTCCTCGTCGCTCAAGTAATGCCCTACCTAGAACAAGAACTCACCAAACGCTACAACCTTCTCCGCATATGGGATTTCCCTCAAAAATCGACCCTCTTATCTCAACACGCCCCGTCGATCCGTGCCGTTGTCGGAAGCTCGGGCGCCGGCGCCGATTCTGAATTCATTGACTCGCTGCCGAAGCTGGAAATCGTTTCGAGCTTCAGCGTTGGTGTTGATAAGATTGATATTGACAAGTGTAAGGAGAAAGGGATTCGTGTGACGAATACTCCTGATGTGTTGACTGATGAGGTTGCTGATTTGGCTATTGGTTTGATTCTTACGCTTTTGAGGAGGATTTGTGAGTGTGATCGGTTTGTTAGAGCTGGGAATTGGAAGCGTGGTGATTATAAATTGACTACTAAGGTATAATCCTAATCGTTTCAACTCGATATTGCGGAAATTTGCGGTCTAATTCAATCATTTTGTCAATTGACAATCCTAAATTGTGGAAATTAGATTTGTTCAGATTCTGCTATGCAAGAGTGCGGCGAGTCTATGATACTGCTATTTCACAATATTTTGTACTAAAATAGATTTTATTGGGGAACAATAGCAATTTTAGGCATTTTTTGGATTGATGGGATCGGATGGAGCTGTACGAGATGGAATGTAGTGGTGGCATTCCATTGTTTGGATCATTTAAAATCGGTGGAGTAGAGTGGAATGGATTGGTATTGATTTTGTTTTATTCATCACTTACTACCATATTTCTTCCCCTCCGATTTGTGGGGAATGAAGAAATTGCCTTGTTCCATCCTGAAATTTTCAAACATGAGATGGAATCTTCATTTCGCTCCGCTACATTCCGCTCCGCTGCATTCCACTATGTTTAATTTGTTAAATTACAATATTGATTGATATTGGTTTTGGTTGTATGAATTGCCATGACATTAGTTGTAAGTCTTGTTTGTGTCTATGGTCCATTCTTAGTACTGTGAAAACTAGTAGCGGTGAAACCAATGTTAATTGTATGTTTGGATTGACCCTGAGTTTGGTGAAATCGCAGTGTACCATGATTATGTTGAGGCTTTGAAGTATGATTTTTACCATAATTTTGGCAACTAGCTGTTATTCCAAAAATCTCATTGTCAATTCAAACTTGCACTATAAAGGATTTAGGTAAAACTAGAAACACAATTTTAAATTGAGGCTTGCGACTGTAGCTTTAATATAAAAAGTCTTAGAGGTCTTTGCAATGATGTCACAGTCACAATCGTGGCTGCATTTTTTGAAATTTCAACGTTTTGAGTATAGTAGTACACGCCATTAGGATCCCTTTATCTCCCTCTTACAAGTTGACATTTATGAGTTAATGTTTCATTATAGGAAAATTGAGTTCAACTGTGTACAAACTCATCTTTCAGATATAACTCAGTTGAACTTATATGAACCCGTTCATACTTTTGCTGAGACTCGTGAGTTTATACTGAAGTGAGTTTATTAAAAAACGCAACAATTTTGCTCAGAATTGGGAGTTTATACTCAAGTGAGTTTATTAGAAAGAAAAAAAAAACATCAGAACCAATATCATGTATTTCACAGTATGTTTTCTACATTTTTATACCTCTCAATGCCTACTTGCGAAATGAAGCTGTCTTTGACATTGTTCCTTTCCCACCAGTGTCCTCAGCATCTTCCGATTCATGTAATTGTCTTGATTCAGTGCGAAATCAAACACAGTTGATATATACCAGAGTGTGAATGAATCTCTATTGGCCCTCTCATCGTGAATCTCAATTCAATTTATTGAATCTCATGGAGTTTGGTGTTGTGAATCTCGTTGGCATGATATGAATTCAATCATGGGTACATCCTGGAAACAGGCCGAGTTATGCAACTTGGTTTCTAAATGTTTTTGCCTATATGACATTTGCTTTTACTTAAAAATGTCATATTTGTATATACTGGAGAAACTCAACTAGTTTGTAGTTGTAAAGGTTCTAGACTTTGACAAACCTATTTTTTAATATTTATAATTTCTGAGCTTTTAGAAAATGGTAAAAACATTTAAAACTAGTTATATGTATCCTCTTGTAGTATTCCCCCTCCATTTTCCAACAAGAAATTGATATTTTTCCGTCTGGTTTTATTTCCTTGCAGTTCTCTGGAAAAAACGTTGGTATTATCGGGCTGGGAAGGATTGGCACGGCAATTGCCAAGAGAGCTGAAGGTTTTAATTGTCCAATAAGCTACTATTCCAGAACTCAAAAGCAGGAGTCAAAATACAAGTACTGTTCAAGTGTTGTTGAGCTAGCATCCAACTGCGACATACTGGTCGTTGCCTGCCCTCTTACGGAGCAAACCCATCACATCATCAACCGAGAGGTCATTAATGCACTTGGTCCAAAAGGTTTCCTAATTAACATCGGCCGAGGTAAGCATGTTGATGAGCCAGAACTGGTCTCGGCATTGGTTGAAGGTCGTTTGGGTGGAGCTGGACTCGATGTTTTTGAAAACGAGCCTCATGTTCCCGAAGAGCTGTTTGGGCTAGATAATGTTGTCTTGTTGCCTCATGTTGGAAGTGCTACAGTAGAAACTCGAACTGCCATGGCTGACCTTGTTCTTGGAAATCTGGAGGCTCATTTCCTTGGAAAGTCACTTTTAACTCCATTGGTTTAATCTTCTTCACGTCCGATCTGTTGCGCATTGTCCGATCTGTTGCGCATTGACCTAGATAATTTGAAGGAATGGCCTCCATTCAGTTACTCCATCTGTTGCGCATTGTCCGATCTGTTGCGCATTGACCTAGATAATTTGAAGGAATGGCCTCCATTCAGTTACTCCGTCGGTTAATAATTCTTGTGATGTGGAATTGATATTGTGAGCGCTGCAGTTATCTTATCTACATCGGTGCTTCAACAGCTATTGTTTAGAATAAGTCAGTTCATTTTAATTGTGTGACATTTTAATAAATGTTTGGATACAAGTTGTTGCTTTGGTTCAAATGTATGTTCAAATGTATTAATCATTAACTAGTTCACATACATCAAAAGAAATACATACTAGTTATATTAATTACATCTAATCTTAACAGTAGGTGGTAAAACATCCGATAAGGTGGATGTTGATTAATCAAAGAAGGATGCGAAATCAGCTCTAAAACCTTGGTTCTGAGATTCTTTGAAGTTTCTAGTAATGTATAGTGTAACCTAAAAATTCTAATGAGAAATATATTTATACTATGCCAAAAACGCAGACCGCTAAGCTCCATCAAAGCGCGCTTAAAACAACTAAAGAGCGTCTGAAATGGCACTAAACACGCAATTAAAGAATAAAATTGATCAAACCATCTAAATCGGCGCTAAGTGTAAGAAAAAGGCGCTTAGCACGCTACTCTCTACCCTAGCGCACCTCCTGGCACGCTTTGACAGCGCTAAACCCAACACGCAGCTACGCAAAATAAACAGTTATTAATAAATTTGCATAAACTATTTTTATAATAGAAAAATAAAACAAATTTAATTGCCTTTGTATTAATACCATAAACTGTGAGTTTAATGGGTATACACTCGCTCACATTCCATTTTTCAATAAATTTTATCATCTAGAAAGAACTTGCGAAAACAAATTTAAAAAATCTTACTATAAGTTAAACCATTCTGAACTATAGTTTCTTTTCTACTTTCCCCCCTCAGAATGTCAACATATATTGGACATATTGTCTATCACCTCTCTTTGTAATAATAGAAACTACTAGTCTGTAGTATTATTTTAGAAACAAACACAAAACAAAACCCGCTACAATAAGATATTCATACACCAAACCACTTTTGATTAACACATCAAAATAAACACATACATTAACACATTGTTATAATAAACCAAAGAGATTAAACCTAAAACCCAAAATGCATATTTCTCAAACATAGCTTCCAACCAAAATCGGTTCCTTCTCTTTCTTCTCCTTTTCTTCACTTTCCTTCAAATCCTCTTTCTCCTTAATTTCCAACCCTTGCAACCCATCCACACACGGCCCCGGCGCTTCATTCTCCGGCTCATTCACATCCACAACATCGGAGAAATCCTCTTCGGTAGGCTTTGGATCGTCGATACAACCATCATCGCCGGAGAATATTGAGACGGCGCCTGATTTCACGGCGGCGGCGGCTTTGAGAAACGCTTCGTGGATTAATTCTGGCGGAAGCGCGGGATCTTCGAGAGCCGCGTCTTCTAGACGCGGAGGTAGAATCTGGTGTAGCAAATTTGATTGATTTTCGGTGGACTCCATTTTTTTTTTGTCTCAAATGATTCATGATTAATCGCTATTTGATATACATATACTACCGTTAAAGGCGGTTATGGTGTCTGGGCTTTTTTGTTGGGCTTGTTTGGCCCATTATAATTTTTATAACCCATATCAATTTTGTCAGAAAAACACATACTAGTAGTCTAGTATATCATTAATTAAAAGTTAAATAGTTACAATAATAAAATAAAATATACTACCTCTGTTTTTTATTATAAGGCATTTTAGAAGATAAATTTACTTAATTAAAAGAAGAGATAATAATAAACTTTTAAGAATATAATAGAGAAAATAACATTAATTATTTGTAAAGTGACTTATATTATAATATAATTTTTTTTCTAAAACGACTTATATTAAAAATTGAGAGAGTATAAGTTAAATAGATGAAAAGTTGATTAACTTTAAATTAAGTTTTTTGATTAGAATCAATTATCATAATCGTATAATAAAGTGATAGGTGTTTTATGGGGTGTGATGTTGTTTTGTCTCGTTTATTAGTTCTCTGTGTGCTCATGTGAATATGGTCTGGGTTGCTTCCATGAACTCTTTCAATTTTCAAATCATTAAAAGAGTAAATGAATTATAATACATTTTCTTTTTTGATTGAAAATGCAGTTCGCTAACGAGTATGTTTGCACTTTAAAAATAAGTTACAACAAGTAATAAATAGGCAAAGTCTCTTCATTAATATGATAAAGCTAAGGATTTTTTAAGTTGGATGGCAGCACATGGAACCATTTGAAAATTTGTTTGAAGATGGGAGATTGATATTAAAGTGTTATCTTGAAAAATCTTAAGGTATTCAAGTATGTGTATTAAATGAAGATATTCTCATAAATTAAAGGTCATCTTTTAAAGTAGGGATTTTTGGGAAATTGGAGCCAAAGTGTTTGAAAATTTGATTTTATTAAAATAGATTTAATGTTAAAAGAAAATGTCACGCCAAACTTTCAAACTGAGTCAGGTCAACCAAAAGGAAATAAAAGAATACTCCCTCCATTCCTATTTATAAGCAAATTTTAATTTTTTAGGTACATTGAATAATTGATGTATTTAACCTATATATATATATAGACCAAATACATCATTTATTCAATGAATCAAAAAAGTCAAAATTTGCTTATAAATAGGAATGGAGGGAGTATATGTTAAGAAATAGTCGAAATTGGTTTAGTCGATCAAAAGGTGAAAGACAAGTAAAATGGTCGAAATTGATTTTTGTCAACCAAAAGGGTTTCTGGACTTAGAGGAATTGTTGTTGATTTTTAAATCTTGCCAAATGAAAAGTGTCGAAGCGAGTCATAAGCAGTTTACTTTCAGAAGCTAGGAGCGGAAAGATTTAAATTTCAAAGTCATCAGCAGTTTACAATTTGTTTAAGCGCCAAATAGGTGGCGACATCCAGTGAAGCGGTTGTCTCAAGATTTTAATATTGTCAGTAGATTTTATCTAGGCAGTTACATTATAAATATTATAAATACGCAGATTTAGTGTAGTTTTTTGGTGTGTTCACCTGTATGCTCAAATCACTTGTCAAAACTCTGTCATTCTGAGCGTTAGAAAACAAAGAGTGAAGAAGTGCTTCATGTACGTGAATCACCACTTTTATTTCAACGCAAATCATTTATTTTTCAATTATCTCTTTTGAATACTTTATTTACTTTTTATGTACTGTCGAACAAAGTCTTTACGTTATTTTCTATTTCGCGTAAACAATTCAATAATCTCTATCGATCACTAGTCAGTTAGTTTATTGAATCTTATTTTCATATGAATACCTTCTGTCGGTCACGAGTCACCAGTCAGTCGATCGATTCATAGTGTGGAAAGCAGTTATACTTGTTCCCTTAGTCACAAAAAACCATTTTCCTTGATAAGGATTTCGATAGAATAAATATAATAATAAAACGCTTAGCATATGTCTTAAGATCAACTGGTCGATTTGCGAGTTACCCTTAGTTTTAGGAGTTTGGAAGGATCAGTGGTTGTTTACAATTTTCCATAGTAAACAAATTGGCACACCTGGTGGGACACAGTGCTAAGAATTTGTCTTAAGTGTATGCAGCTTAGAAATGGAAAGCTAACCAAAGAGTATAATAAAACATCATCTAGGAAGCATATATCAAGAATGACAATTCCTGATAATCCAAACGTAGATGAAATACCGTCACGAACTTTAACTACTACTGATCCAGTAGTTTCTCAAGTTGCATCTTTTCCTCCAGTTGGGTCAACTGCAGCAGGTTCCACACAAATTTATCAGGCTCCACCGAGAAGCCCAAGGCCTGTAATGACTACGACCACCATACCTAATGTGTCTCATTTTGGTAATGTGGATCCTGTTTATAAAATGTTGTATTCCATGATGTCAGGATACCAATCAACATCGAATGCAGCAGTGGTGTCAGATAATGTTCAAAATTTGAACTCCCTTTTACAAGGATCTTCACCAAGAGGAAATAATAGAGACAATCAAATTAGAGAAATGCCTTCTCAACCAATAGTATCGTCTCTCACTAACACTTCAGTAGCAGTGTTAAGGTAACAAATGGATGATAGTAACCATGAGTTGGTTAATATGTTAGCTAACCAAATGGGTAATGTATTTAATCCTATAGTACAAGAGTCGGCTGAGACTAATAGGCAGCCCGCTGAAATAAATCGACAGGTGATTGCCCAATTAACACGTTTGTGTAATTTTTAGGTGCTCCCTTAATACCTATTCGACAGGCGCCACTTGTTCGACTAGATGCCTCTGGTCAAATGGACATGGGGGAAATACAAGATGAAACTGTCTATTAGGGACAAGTGCTAGTACCTCCAAGGAATTTGATTGTCTATCCACCTAGGGCATTAGTAAATCGACATCAAAAGGCTGATCCAATTGTTGAACAAATTTGACAAGAGGATTTAGCCGTAGAAAATAATCTAACCACCATTGTCGAAAGAATTATGGCTAGGAATGGTATGAATATCATACTTCAAAGGCCAACATATTCTTCCCTTTTTTCTGAACATATCTTACAGACTGAAAACCGTAGAGGATGGAAAATTCCTAAGTATACAAAATTCGGGGGAGAATCTGGAGAGTCGACAGTGGAACATTTTGCTAGGTATTTGACTGAATTTGGAAATATGTCGAATAATGAAAACTTAAGGGTAAAACATTTTCCTTCTTCCCTTACTAAGGCAACTTTCACGTGGTTTACCACTTTGCCTCCAAATTCGATTGACTCATGGACTAAGTTGGAAAAACTTTTCCATGAACAATTTTATGAGGGTCATTCGAAAATAGTTTGGTTGAATTGTCAAACATTAAAAGAAGGTTTGCTGAAACCATTGATGACTATCTAAATAGATTTAGGTCATTGAAAGCAAGATGCTTTACTCAAGTACCAGAACATGAGCTTGTTCAAATGGTTGCTGGAGGTTTAGATTACTCCATTAGGAAGAAAATAGATCCGACCTTCGTGAACAATATGTTATAGTTAGCTGATAGAGTTCGACATCTAGAGCGTTTGTGACTAGAAAAGGTCAGACATCCTAAGGCTAGGACTAAGAAAGAAAAAGTAGCCTTCATAGATTATGATGACACATATCCCATTTGTGAGGCCGACTATACCTCACCAACAGAGGCAGAGGTCGACGTGACTGAAATGAAGCCAGGGCCAGCATATGAATGTAAATCACTATTTCCTGCTAAAGGAAAAAAATACGATCGAAAACAATCCAAAATTTCTAGCGAAAACTTATACGTTTGATGTCACTAAATGTGAAGAAATTTTTGATTTGTTAGTTAAAGATGGTCAAATTTTAGTACCCCCAGGTTCTAAGTTACCACCATTAGAACAACGACAGAAAAGAGGTTTTTGTAAATTTCATAATTATCTTGGTCACACAACCTCTCAATACTATCTTTTCAGGGATCTCGTACAAAAATCGCTGCAGGATGGTAGATTGAAATTTGCTGCACGAAAAATGAAGATTGATACTGGTCCTCTTAGACAAGAGGAGGCTTTGTTTCTTGACCCTGTTGACATCAACATGGTAGAAATTATTGAGTTTCCTGATGATGATATGGTCGAAGAGGGTACTGGAGAAATTCTTGATGTCGACTTAGCTGATGTGTACCCAAGGCATGAGGAGGACTTGCTAGACTTCCTTTACCGTTGTAAGAATAAAGGTTCGCAAGCTTGCTTGTGTCCTAGGTGTGGCGCCTTGACTGGAAAAATAGCTGCTGAAAATTTCCAGAAGCTGTAGTTAGAAAAGAACAAGGGCAAGTCGTACAATCAAATGTTCCCTACACCAAGGGACCCAAGAAGAACCGTGGGAAACTCCCATGCCAAACCAAGAAGTTATATTCCTTCAGCAAAAGCTCCTAACGGTACTTAGATTAAGCCTCAAGGGAGAAGGGGGGGCACTAATTGATGGTGTTATTGCTAGAGACCAAAACAAAGGAAAGTCGACTATTAACTACCGACACGAGTTTAAGTCTGAGAGAAAAGTCATATTTCTGAAAATTACATGGGGAAGAATCCCATGACTTAAACCCAATGGAGGCTCTTCCAGCGTCGAAAGCAGGCTGAGAGGCGAGCATCTACTGGCCAAATTGCTGCAAATAAAGCTGGAAATTAGAAGTAGTATAAAATGAAGGTTGATTCCTATGCAAAAGAACAAATCAACGAGTTTGTGAGTCGACCAGTTGGTAAGTGTTCTGAAGAAGCTACTGACAATTTTGAGTCTGAGTCTGAAGAGATTTTGAAGCTACTTCCAGCAGAATATGATTGCTTAACTGAAGTGGAAGATTCAGCAGACGTTGATGCTGAGGAGATGGATTTACACAAGCCAACATGTTACTTTGTGATGAATAATGGTTCGATTGAGTACCAAGATGCATTCTTTGAAAGACCAGATATGGCCATGAGGAGCCATTTAAAGCCTCTTTTAATAAGGGCTAAGCTTGAAGGAGTGGCTATCAACA